GCCTCCAGCGGCTTCGACGGAAGAAGGCGGCAGCCGCGTCAATTGCAGAAAATGATTTAACGAAGGCTCGAGATCGAGAAGGAAGTTGGTTGATATGAGTGAGGCGGCTGCCCACTGAAACTACTGCATTGAACAGAACGAAATGATCAATCTTCCGCCTTGATGGCAAAGGAGAAAAATGCGAATAGAAGGAGAACGGCGGAACCGGCGCTCAAGGCGAACGGGCCGCGAGGGCTTCGCGAAACTGCTTAAATTAGGAGCCCTGCCATTACTTTTTTTCTTAAAACAAGAATCAAATAACCGGAATTAAAGGTCTGTTTTAACCTAAACCCTGCCAAACAGCAAAAAAGACATCTTTATTCCGCCGTTCTGCCGTAAATCCAGGATTTAGAAAACCCCAATGGAAGACAGATTAACCGGATTTAGTGAAGCTGAAGGGAACGAAGGAGTTTGGGATGAAGTGGAGAAAGATAAGGGTTACCTTCCTCGCTGGTTTCGGGTAGAAGCTGAGCGTAAGGAGAAGAAAGATGGGAGTTTCCGAGGACTTTGTATGCTTCAATCCCCGCGTTGCCTTCCCAGCTAGCTCAACTCGCAACTGTATCGCGATGTATCGGTAAGAAAATGAAAGGCGATTGTTCTGGGCTATAAACCAAGAGAGGGGAAGGACGCAGGCGAGGGTTTCGAGCACGAGGTTGGGGGAGATAGATTTGGGGATTTAAATTAAATTTATTTAACTTAATTTTGATTAATTTGCAATTACCAAACATTTTGTTATTTAATTATTCACTAAATCCGAAATTTTAATTAAAACTTGCACCCCTAGAGCCCGTTTATTTGGATCACCCTCCCCATAGTAGAGCTGTCAAAAGGGCTCGCTTGCTAAGAAGCTCTTGTGTTCTGCTCATTCTTTGAGTTAATGAGCCGAATATAAACAGCATGAATAAGCATGAATAAAGATTTGTTCATTCGTGTTTGGCTCGTTTTGACTCGAAATACAATTAATCAATTATATATATATATTAACAAATTAGTAGTATTTTTAAAAAAATTAACTGACTACAAGGCTACAAAGATTTATAATCAATTAAAAGTATTAATTAAGAAAATAGAATAATAACTATTAAATTAGATTCAAATGATGTTTTAATATAAACAATAATTTTTAAATCTTGTCTCAATCCTTAACATCTTATGATTACGTGATTAGAGTTGTCAAAACGGCTCTTTGTTCGTGA